AATTAGTGACAGAACGAGAGGGAATGGCTTCAAGCTCCAACAGGGGAGGTTTAGATTGAACATGAGGAAGGAATTTTTCACTGAAAGAGTGGTCGGGCATTGGAACAGGCTGCTCAGGGAGGGGGTGGAGTCCCCATCCCTGGCTGTGTTTAAGGGCTGTTTAGATGCAGTGCTGAGGGACATGGTGTAGGGGAGGACTTTGTAGAGTAGGGGAGATGGTTGGACTCGATGATCCCAAGGGTCTCTTCCAACCTCAATGATTCTATGATTCCTTCTCCCTCCAAATCCTTTTCTCTACTTCCAGGTAAAATACACCTCATCCACACGTGCCCACCTCGCTTCTCTTTGCTGTCTCCCTGCTGCTCCTCGCCGTCTCCTGAGGGTCCCACAAAGGCCAGAGGCACACACAGAGGCCAGTGGTGCCCTGATCAGCTGAAACAGCCTGGCCAGCAACGTGCAGGTGCTGCAGACTGCGTGTCCTCAGCAGGGATGCTTGACATGGCATCGCCAATCAATAGCGCCGGTTTGCAGGACACTATTTAGAAATAGGGTCCTGGACAACACACCAGCTCTGGCAGCCTGCTCACCTGTGGATTTCCATTTAACTCAGCCCTGTCATCTGCCAGCTAATTGCCTTACGGACTGCCACTCACAATTGCACTTCTCTGAGACTGCTGCATCACCACCGAGTTTTACCATTTCTGTCACACTCACCTTGCAACTGAAGTCTGAAATTCTAGTAAAGGTTGGACCAGATGATCTTTTGGGATCCCTCCCAATCTGGGCTGTTCTACCCAGGACACAACTGTGACTCCTCACACCACCCGACTGAACCTAATGCATTTGAAAAGGCTTTTCAATACCCTGGCCCAGTCTGGGGGCAGGTTTTCATGACCCTGATTCATAAGCAGCAGTACCTTAAGAAGGCTGAGGTTTGGGGTATCAAAGAGCATTTGAAGAGCATGTGAAGAGCATTTTTCCCCTCCCTCCTTTCCATTTGTCAGGACCTCATGGGATACTGGAGAAGAAAGCAAAGGATCCAGTTTTCCTACGTGACTGCTGTGTGAGTGTGCCTCCAGGGAAATGGGGGAACAAGAACAACTCGATGTTTATCGGCGTTTTCCAGCCAGTTCTCATGGACCCATAAGGACAAAGACTCACTGGAACTCCAGCAGCAGCAGCCTGGGACTCCAGCCCGTACCTTATCCAGTTTGTCCACGCTGGAGCAGATCGTTCGGAACTTGCTGTCTGGGACACCACAAACTGCAAACATCCCATCGAGGATGCGCCGATCGTTGACCTGGGGGAGAGGGAGCAAGTCATTAACCATGAACTCAAACAGACGCTTCAGCCGTGTCCGGTTTCTCTCCTCTCTAGATTCAAGTCTCTTCCCTGTTCCTGGGGAGCTAAGCTGCCCCCCTGCCCACAGCAGGCAGCTAACACAACTGACTTCTACTGAGCCTGGGTAGAGCTCTCACCTTCTTCTTCTACAGCCACAGGCTTCTCCACTCAACAGAGAAGAAAAACCAACGGGGCCTATGAGAGCCACCAAGCTGGTGAGGGGCCTGGAGAACAAGTCCTATGAGGAGAGGCTGAGGGAACTGGGCATATTTAGTTTGGAGAAGAGGAGGCTGAGGGGAGACCTCATTGCCCTCTACAGCTCCCTGAAAGGAGGGTGTAGAGAGGCAGGTGTTGGCCTCTTCTCCCAAAGGACGAACGACAAGACCAGAGGAAATGGTCTGAAGTTGGGGCATGGAGATTTAGATTAGATATTAGAAAGAACTACTTTACTGAGAGAGTGGTCAGGCACTGGAACAGCCTGCCCAGGGAGGTGGTGGAGTCACCATCCCTGGAGGTATTTAAGAAATGTATAGACATGGCTCTTCAGGGCATGCTCTAGTGCCCAAGGTTATTGGTTTATGGCGAGGTGTTGAGTGTGGGGTTTAGTTGGTGGGTGCGGTGTTTTTGGTGGGCGTTTGGTGTGGTGTGTTTTGTATTTGTTTCGTTGGGTTTTTTTTCGTTGTTTTTTTTTTTGTGGTTGGACTTGATGATCTCAGAGGTCCCTTCCAACCACTAAGATTCTGTGAAATCTGTGACTTCTCATGTGGGCACGTAAAAACAGCTCAGGAACATACCACAGACTAAGGAGATGAATTCAGTGAGTTATTCTGCTCTCTCGGTCTAAGAACATCTATTTTAACATAATTAAAACCTCACTAAGGATTTTTTTTTGTTTTTTGATAGTATAGTTTAATTATCGTCTGTAATAGTAGGTGATTGAGGCCAAAGGTTGAGCTGGATTCAACCTTTCCATGGGTAGTGAGAACATATAAAATTAAATTAGACAGAAAGACTGCTCAGGAGTTTGCGATCCTCCAGCACCAACGTGAATGGGACAGTAGCTCATGGAAGACAAGAATAACCGCAGGCAGGTTATTCTGCTGTTCCCTGCTGCAGAAGTGCCTTCTCATTGGCAAATACATCTGCTTCACCACTGCAAACACACAGTAGCTGGACAGGCAGTTCTGGACACAGCTCTTCACCTCATCCCAGATGGGTTCAAGGGCAGGTAACTGCTCCCCTTCCCAGTGGAGGCTGCACATCAGAGCACAACACCCAGCCCACACTGCTCCCCTCCCTGGCAGAATTCAACAATGGTCCAACTCTGCATCCCTCTCAGAGGTCCTACCTCCCTCTCAGAGGTCCTACCTCCCTCCTGTACATCAGGCACTCCTACCCATCACTCTTCTACACCTTTCCCCATCCTGGAGGGGTTCAAGGCCAGGCTTGACAGGGGTTTGAACAACCTGGTCTAGTGGGAGGTGTCCTTGCCCAGGGCAGGAGGTGGGTCTGGATGATCTTTAAGGTCCCTTCCACCCAAACCATTCTATGGTTCTGTGATTCCTGCCTGACCTGCACCGTTTGCTGCCACACCGAAGTAACAGGTGTTTTGAAGCAAACCACAAGCTCAACCTACAGCAGGGCACCACTCTTCTTCTGGAAGAGGCCTCAGGCCCAGAAAGGATTTGGTGGGAAGGCAGGAGTCTGCAGACACCACAGGGCACACTGAGCAGCCATCCTCATGAAGGGGGCATGAGGAACCAGGACAAGGCAGGGACCCTGGGCCAGAGCCTGCGTTTTACTGCAGGCAGTGAATGAGACAGTCACCGGGTAGTTGGCGGCTGGATGTTTTGCAAGGGACTGTGGTGAGTGCTAGAGAGAACTCTGCAGACTGCAGTCTCAGGAAACCTCCTTGCATTCCCAGCTAAAGGCAAGTCTGAGCTAAGGTCCAGCCTTTTAGTGTACACACCAGGAGGAGGCAGAGAGGGGCAACGAACTGTGGCTTCTGGGTCAGGTGTTAGAGTGGGAACAGGTGCCGCTGCATAAAACTACAGGAACAATGTAGTTGTTAGAGTCTTCCAACTCTAAAAATTCAGTGAAATTCAGTGAAACAACCACTGCTTCCCACTGTGGCACAGAGAAACCCGCCCACTCTCACCTTAATGAGAAAGTCCCCGAGCTGCAGGTCACTCAGGATCTCGTGCACGATCTTCAGGCACTCGGCGTCGGGAATCATCGGGTCGAACTGCCCGGCGATGTCAAAATCCTGGGGCACAGGAAAAGGCAGTGAGCAATTTATGACAGGACAGGGCTTCAACTCTGCTGCTAACAGCAGTTTGTTTACAGAAAGTGACAGAAATGGGTGTAAGGAAGCGCTAGCGCTCTCCAGGAGGACCCAGATGGGGCAAGAGGAGGTGTTCAAGGCCAGGCTGGATGTGGCCTTGAGCAACCTGCTCTAGTGGGAAGTGTCGCTGCCCATGGCAGGGGGTTGGAACTGGATGATCTTTGTTGTCCCTTCCAACCCAAACCATTCTATGATTTTAAGATGTGGGTTATGACCCTCTCTCATGGCAGGCGGCAGTGGTCTGTGTCCACTGCACTGCAAGGAGCCTGCACACTGTGTGGTGACCAGTGCAGGCAGTTTGTGAGAAGCTGTTCTGCTTCTGGAGGTGCGTGACCTGCTCCCTGCCTCTGACACAGCAGTTTACTGTGTGATACGCTTTGAAACAGAGATCCCTGACAAATGACAGCAGAGAGATCATCAGCAGTAAATAAATAGCACAAAGGAACCGGTAAAGGGAGGAGAAAACGACTTATTATTTGGTATGACCTAAATGCCACGTTTCATCTTGATTCTTAGGATATTATTTTTTTAATACACATGCCAATCAAGTTAATGATCAGGGAAGAAAACAACAGAAGCAATCTCAACTGAGGCAGAACCAGTTTGAACTGCCAAGACAGGAAAAGAAATCAGAACGCCTGAGTGGTCTCCACCAGAGATTACCAGATGGACTAGCACGTAGGACTAAAGTACAACAGCAAGATGTTTTAATAGGCTGGTACCCCATGATTGGAAAATAGCAAAAACCCAACATCAGTGTTTAGAGAGAAATAAAATACAGAAGCAACAAGAGACCTCTTATTCAACTCTCATTTATGAGTCCCCAGATGCAAAGTCTTCAGTGATATTTTGAGTACAAGAATCATTTTAATTAAATGGGTACCTTTCAGCTTCACTAAGCTTCCAAAATAAATTAGGGCAATGGAGGAGGAAAGAGATAAGATGACATCAGTTAATCCCCAATGAGCCAAGTGCAAGAAAGGCTGATGCAATCCCTGGGGAAGTTGGGTGAGGACTGGTACAGTCAGGAAAGTGCCGCTACCGCTGCGCATGGCACAGGTGAAATCTCACTGAAAAAAACCCAACTAAGGGCTGGTGTACATTATATTTAAGAAAAGATGCAGACAAAGCTTCTGGACTGAGCAAAGAAGCAAAGCATCTCCAGGGAGAGAAGGTAACGGAGCTTGATTTGCATGGCATAAATAAGGAGGGGATGATGTCTCTAAACACTTCCCAAACGTTTATCTGGGAATGGGGAAGAATCCACATGAAGGGAGGACAGCTACCATTTGAAGAGCTGCACTGGCACAAGGAGAAGTAAACTATCAGACACAAGTAAAAGTAAACTATCAGACATGGGTAAGTTTATCCTGGGTATCAAAAGACTATTTCTAGCTACCCTAGGAGTGAGAGCTTGGAATAGTCTTTCAGATGAGACAAGAAGCAGAGACCCCAAGTTATCTGGAAACAGGAATTCACCAAGCTGGAGCTGGAAGGCATCCACTGGGGTTGTATGCTGAATATTCTCAAACAGGAATTTGGAATATGACACCTTGGGGATGGTGTTATTACAGCAGAACAAAGCCATTCCTTGGGGCTACCACACTCTGAGAAAGCCACAAAGGAAATTGCTTTCTAACCTGTTCTGTAATTTCACCTCTGGGTTTTTCCCTTCCTTTGAAATAAAGATTGACTAAGTACGGGACAGAAGCAGCATATCCTACAGTTGTGTCGCTTCCCTGGTTCCAGTGTCCTGCTCACGTACCTGGGAATGCAACTGTTGCCAGATTTGGGATCAGAAGGAGATTCTTTCCCCTGCACCAGGCTGGGAAGCACTGTGGGATGGAGCAAGGAGCCCTCTCCACAGTGTGAAGCAGACCTGGGGGCAATATTACAAAGTTCCCCAATACACCAGCACCCCATGTCCCAGCCATCATCCTCACTCTCCCACTGTCACACTGATTTTCACACCCATCAGGGCATGCTAAGGAAATCACTGGATCCTCCTGAGCTTTCCACAGCCACAGGGAAGGCCACTGCAGGGTAACACAGCCTTTGGTCCTTCATTTTTATGGTGCTATGTCCCCACAAGTGCTGCCCAACCTACAGCCCTGATGGCCAAACTCACACACTGGTAGAACTCCCTGTAGCGGCCCCTGGTCATGGCCGGGTTGTCCCGCCTGTAGACCTTGGCGATGTGGTAACGCTTGATGTTGGTGATCTTGTTCATGGCCAAATAGCGAGCGAAGGGCACCTGAGATGGTAGGGTTAAGGATGGGAACAGGGAGGGATGACCTCACCCAGTTATCAGTCACAGGCAGTGCTGGGTCCTCACTATCTCCCCAGCACCCAGCACAGTGTGGCGCACATCCGCGGGGCAAAGGAACTGCTAAGAGATGGCTAGACTTGCCACAGCTCCCCATGGTCTTCACAACTGCCCAAGATACAGCCCACCAAGCTGCCACTGAGTGTCCCTTCAGGCATCTTCCAGGACCACCCGAGGTTGGATTTCGGTCTTACGTGGGCTGTGTACCCTGGGCACCCTGCTGAGGAGAAATCACACTCCACAGATCTTCCTTCCCTCCCCGTACAAGTGTGACTTTGCCAAACGGAAGCAACGTCCAGAAAATAAATGAGCAAGGGTTCTGCACTCGCTGAACCATGCTCCCTGTCAGCCAAGGGACTGTCCTCCCTCCTCATCCCTTGCCCTCTGGACAACGATGCCCCAAAAGGAGATGACAAGACCCCTCAGCAGTGGCTGTGGCAGGATACTGTCAGGTCATAGCGCAGGGACAGCAGCTCTCCTCCTTGATCTTTCAGGTCATAGATGAGCTTTGAGTCTTCACCATATTTCCCCGTCAGCGTCTCCTACAACAAAAGGACACACAAAGAAACAGTATCTTCAGTGACAGGGCATCAGCCCTAGAAGATGCAGAAAACACGGAGAGAAAGGGAGGACATGGAGGAGATGGAAGAAGAAAACTCAGCCCTCAACACATGGCAAGCTTTCAACTGCAGAATCTCATCCGCTCAGCCGACGTGCTGTGTCCTCACTCACCTTCAGCTCAAACACTGGTGTATCAATGACTTCTGCTCCATGGCGCTTGAAGCAGGTGATGATGGCATTGAAGACTCTCTCACGAATGGCCATTTGCTTGGGGCTATAGTCCCGTGTGCCCTGGGGCCAGGTAAGGAAAAGAAAAGGACACGTTGGGTTAGAGGCATGCGGTGGAGAGAGATGTCAGAGGTGACGTGAAGAAGCCATCATACTATTAACAAAGCCAGAGAGAACAGGTCCAGACACCAGATATCAGGAGAGGTGGTAAAAAGCAGCACCAAAGAATAGTGGAAAACATCAGGACACAGCTCAGACATGCCAGAGCTAAATCTGGTTCAGGAGTTTCACTACGCAGGAAACAAAGGAGCTAACACAGATCCAACACTCAGAGGGTTCAAAATTTCCGAGGACGACAACGCAGCTTGGATCTGTCCACAGCTCTAAGCCAAATGTATCAGCCAGACCCTGGCACAACGAGCCACTCAGGGGTGGAATCAGAGGACAGGCCTGTTCAGAAGCTGTGAAATAACCAGCAGCTCTACAATTTCCAAACACATACAGAGAAAAATCATCTTTTCAAAGCGCAATACCTGCAAAGTGCACATCTACCGTGTGATGCGATGTGCTCCCTTTCCATTTCTTTGCTGTCAAGAGTCACTGAATTATTCCGATGACCGCCTTCAGGCTCTCAGCAACACATCAATCCCTGCTAATTAACTAGACCTCCCCCTTTCATTTTTCTAGGGATTAGCAGTAAGGCAGGAGGGAGCAGAGAGCAGGTCCTGGGTAACACCCCACCTGCAGGCTGCAGAGCACAGAGCAGATCCCAGCCGTACACTGACATCAATCCCTGCTAATTAACTAGACCTCCCCCTTTCATTTTTCTAGGGATTAGCAGTAAGGCAGGAGGGAGCAGAGAGCAGGTCCTGGGTAACACCCCACCTGCAGGCTGCAGAGCACAGAGCATATCCCAGCCGTACACTGACGTGGCTGACACCAGCTGGAAGCTCAGGCTGCATTTCCCTGGCACTCACAGAGCTGCAAAATCCTCTCTCCATATCTTAACACCCTGAAATACCCTTCCACTTCCCAGGTCTCGCATCACAATTACATTTACCAAAAGGAAATGGACAAGGAGAGTTTTGAGGTATTTCTTAAACCAGTGGCATTAACACAACCTGGTTTATTTGTGAGGACCATTCATAACTGTCTCCACACCACAGCATGGAAGTGCAGTTGGCCTCTAATCAGCTGACAGTGACAAAACACTCAAGTTACAAAAAAGTGCAGCATAAATTGCATTACGGACACTATTTTCAGGGGCTTGGGGACTGAAAAGCTATCCCTGAAGGAAAGGTTCTTCTGCAAGAGGACACAAATAACATCAGCAGCTGGCCAGACCTGCTCAGTCAATGGGATTACCCACTTCCACAGACTAAAGCAAGACCAAAAGCCACAAGAGCTCTCTTGCTCCTCACATTTCAACATGTGCTGAACATTTCTGGCAAGCACTGCCAGGCATCTGAGTTTCTTTGGCTGCCTTATGCTTTCTAATTCCCCCACAATGAGCCTCACACCAGCAGAGCCACACTTCACACCCAACCAGCCAGGAGCTCCATCCAGGTTAAAGGGAACAGGACCTGCTTGAAGATCCTTGATCCACAAGAGCTAATGCTGCAGGGACTAGTGGGGTCAGTGCTACAGGAGCTGAAGAGTTCCAGCCCTAAACTCACTGGGGCAATGCAAGTCATGACCTTACTTCAAATACCACAATCCAAGCAGATAAGAGACCTCTCACACTGGGCAGCTCTGATAAAGCTTGCCCAAAAGGGAATTTAATTTCCTGACCACACCAGCTAGTGGGTGGCTCGTCACAGACGCACCAGAAAGTCTTTTAGTAGGGTATCTGGGCCAGATGCTGTCAGGGATATTTCCCCCACTCTCTCTCTCCCGTGGTGCTAAAAGTGAAACAGAAATGAGAATAAAGACAGAAAAGTCTGTGCTGAGGTTCTGCAGGGGCAGGTGTGCGGGGGGTGCCGTGTGTGTGCACAGGAGCAGGTGATGCACACAGAGATACACGTGAGTGTGTGCGCTCGAGGAAGTTACCTTCGGGGTCTTGAGCACAAACTTGTGTTTTCCCTCATCTCCTCCCAGCTGCGCCTTCATCTCCAGGAGTTTTGCCACCTCCTTTGCAATCTGGGGAGGGAATAAGGAGGGAGTTGGGGGTAAGCCTACCTGCCAGGCCCAGCCCACAGGCCTTCCCCAACACCTTCAGCCTCAACACCTTCAGCCTCAACATTCCCAGTACACCCAGACTCCCCAGCCTCAGTACATACACTGTTCCCTGTCTCCAACAGCAACCAGAGGGGTACTGCCTGCTCCTCTCCGGTACTCCCCACTTCTGCTGCAAGAACCCCAACCTCAGCACCTCCACCACCCCCACCACTCTCTAACTCCCACAGCCTCCATTACCTTCAACATCTGCCTCCCTGGCCAAGACACCTCCTGTCCTACCAGCCTCCACACCAGCCCCAGCACCACCAGCTCCTGCTGCCCACTGTCAGCAGTCTCCAGCACCGTCCTCCCAGTCCTAACATCCCCAAGCATCCTTCTCTCCAGTCTAACACCAGTGTCACCAGTTTCCCCAGACACCTCATCCCCTTGGCTCTCCAGTCCAGAGCGGTACTCCCATCCTCCCCAACACCTCTCTTCCCAATGCCACCACCCCTAGCCCAGCAACACTTACACCAATGCTCCCAGTTCCCTACAGCACCATCCTTCTAAGCCCAGCAACCCCAAACACACCCTGCTCATCCCAGCAGCCCTCTCTCCAGCCCAGCACCAGCAACCCCAGTTCCCCCCAAGCCCCTCTTCCCCATACCAAGATCCTCAAAGCTCCAGCCCTCTCTCTCCAGGCCAGTTCCCCTGCTCCCAGCCACAGAACCAGAGTGCTGGACGAGACCTTATAAATCATCCAGTGCCACCCCCTGCCCTGGGCAGGGACACCTCCCACCAGCCCAGGTTGCTCCAAGCCCCCTCCAACCTACCCTTGAACCCCTCCAGGGATGGGGCAGCCACAGCTTCTCTGGGCAACCTGGGCCAGGCTCTCACCACCCTCACAGCAAAGTTCTTCCCCACAGCTCATCTCCATTCTCTGCGCACTGCGCCCCCCGCGCCTGCGCACTGCGCCCCCCGCCGGTTGCCAGGGCAACGCGCCCGCGCCTGCGCAGGGCCGGGCCGGGCCTCGCCTCAGCGCCCCGCGACGGCGGCGCCAAACGCTGAATAAACGCCGTAGGGTGGGGTTTTTGCCCGTTGTGGGAAACGAGCTAAGTTTTGCTTCAGCTAATTGATATATTCTTGTTAGTGTGTCAGTACTAACAAAGGTGTCTTAGTGATAGTAGAGTCTAATCAATTGCATCCAATTAATCCCCGGAAATTAGATCTCCCCTGGGTGACCTAATAGCGGCCTTCCAGTACCTGAAGGGAGCCTACAGGAAGGCTGGGGAGAGCCTGTTTACAAAGGCTGTCAATGACAGAACGAGGGGTAATGGCTTTAAACTGGAGAAATGCAGATTTAGATTGGATGTTAGGAATAAATTCTTTCCTGTGAGGGCTGTGGAGCACTGGAACAGGTTGCCCAGGGAGGTGGTTGAGGCCCCTTCCCTGGAGATACTCAAGCACAGGCTCAACGAGGCCCTGGACAACCTGGTCTAGTTGGGGGTGTCCCTGCTGACTGTGGGGAGGTCAGACTAGATGGCCTTTGGAGGTCCCTTCCCTTCCGACCCAGATGATTCTATGATTCTATGAAATGCCCTTGGTCTGTCCAGGGATCCTTGTTGGCAGAGCGTTATCCAGGGGAAGAGAAACAGACTGGAACACGGCCTTCGACACAGGAACCCATAGGGGAAGGGAGTATCAATAAGGTCAAAGAAACTGGCCTCGGGCAGTAAATCTGCCAAGTAGATGGTAGCAAAGACTGTGAAATAATGTGTAACGTAATCAACTAATCGAAGGCATGTCTAGGATAATGATTTTGTAGAATAGGTGTATGTGTGCCTTATATGGGAAAAAAGTGCGAACTAAACCTGTAATAGGTCAGGCGGTCGGGAAGAATGTGAGCTCCAACTTCTCAGCCCCTGAGAAGAGAGACAAACTCAGACAGATGGGATAAGGGTATAAAATACCTGAAAGCTGAAAGATCAGCGTGCATCTATTTTTGGTGCACCCGATTCAGCACTGTTTCATATTAACAAATTTTTTTTAACCTTTGCTTCAGCAACTTTGTCCTCTTTAAATTCTAAGATGTGAGTCAGTGTTTCTCATGCTGTCATTTTGTTGTTTTTTTTTTTTTTTTAATGTATAAAAATACAGAGTTCCTCCACGCTCACAACAGCCGGAGCCTGCCTGCCCAGCTCCCCGCTGCATCCCTCCCCGAGGGGGCCTGCACTCCCCACACTCCGGTGCCAGGGGCCGGGCTCCCCGGAGCACATCCATCCCTGTACCCGATGGCAGCCTGGTGATGCCCTTGCAGTCCTTGGAGGGGACAGAGGGGCCTTCCACTGCCACCCTCTCCCTCCATGCCGAGCCTGCAGGTGCCCAACATGCCACAGATTCCACCCCCCAGCTCCAGAGCTCAGCCTCATCCTGCTTGAGCTGCCCCCATGTCACCTGTGCCTGTGCCACCAACACAACTGCCTACAGGGGATGGGAACAGCTGCACAGGCACAGGTACCACAATATTAGGAACCCACGAGTCTGACCCATCCTTCAGAGCAGTTAACCAGAAGGTTAACCTCATGACTGTCCCGTCCATAACCTTTAAAACCTGCTTCCTTCTTTCCAAGCATGTGTTGACACTGCCTTAGCCCAAGCAGATGAGCCTCAGGTGACCAGACTTCAGCAGGAAGCGAATGGCTAAGGGTGCTGGAGGGTTCCAGTTGTACAGTTCGGTCAAGCAGCTCTGGCCAGAGAAGTCCTATGGCTCCAGCCTTCTCCTGATCTCATCAAGCAGCTTTTCTCTTGGGATATCAACCTACAAGGAAATGGAGAGAAGGAGGTAGCAGCATTGGAACCCTGAGCAATGCACCCTTCAATCTGGCCCCAAGGACCTGCTGTGGGTACCAACGTAGTTTGTGACCCAATAGGTCCATCCTGCAACTCCCCAAAGGAACGTCACTGAGGGAAACCTCAGAGCCTTTCAGTAACCTCTAGATTTTTGGGAGCGCTTTTGAAACCCAGTGTAAGATGGCATTCTCACCTCCTGTCTTGTTGCGACATCTCGCAGCTTGACGACTCCATCTGTCAGCTCTTGCTCTCCTACAATGGCAGCAAGGGGGATCCCCATGTCCTCACAATACTGCAGCTGCTTCAGCAGTTTAGGATCCTTCTTGTAAAACATCTCTGCCTAGGAGAGAGAGGAACAAATTTGCTCTGATGAATCCTGGAGCAAAACAGCCAGCACCAAAACCCCACAGAAAACTCTGCCTCATTATTCCTGCAGCAAGCAATTGCCTTTAGTGGTCTTGACTGTTCTCCTCCTCTGCCTGCTAGATCTCAGACAGGCACAGATCCTGAAGAGACACACCACCAAAGGAGTTGGTTTTGCTGTGCTGCAGTTCCCTTCAGGCTCTCCATCCTTCAAGCCATACCAGTGCCAAGCCCAAGTCCTCATTTTACCTTGATCCCTGCGTCCCACAGCTCGGAGATGAGCTTCAGTCTCGCAGCGAGTAAGTGTTTCTGAGGTGTAGCCACCAGCACTTGTGTCTCCGTCGTTCGAAGTTTCTCCCCAGAAGCCTGCAGGGACAGACGCGCTCGTGAGAGTGACAGGCTCTGAGGGAATCTGCAGCTCACAACAAGCTCAGCTCGCCTTATCTTCAGACCTTAACTTAGCTCCCCCAAACAAGCACGCTTAAAAGCTAACTGTCACTATTCAGTGAAGGTTACTGAGCAAGGCTAACCTTCCAGAAGCAAAAAGAGTGCACAGACAAGACAATCTGGGCACATTTAATGAGTCCCCCAGAGAATCTGCATTGTCACACGCTACTTAATCGTGTGCTGCTGTTCCCATGGGACCTTGGTCTTCCTTTCCCCCCCCTGCCCCGGGATGGGACCTGGACAGCTTTCTGATGCCTCCTTTGATTCTTCCAGTCCAAAGACATTGCTTCAGCCTCGCTTGTTATGAATTACAAGCTCAGAACTAAATGCAGAGAGATGGATTTCCTCACAGGCTTTCCTAGGGCTCATTACAGAGTGAGCGCCACAGCTGTTAACGAATTCATCACTTCACAATCCCCAGGACAGAAAACTTCACAGGCAAGAGGCTGGGACACAAAGATCAGAGCTAGGACCAGAGCTCAGGGCCTGTCTCTAACGATTCCTTGGCGTCTGCTACAAAATGCTGCCCTTAGCTGCCCATGGGCATCCCATCCTGGTGGGACCCTGGTGGGCTGCAGAAGAGGGCTCTGTCTTCTGTGCATGGACACACAGGCATGAGAGCACTCATCTTCTCCCCCCAAATGCTCTCCTCTCAAACACTGTGGAGCTGTAGAGCTCTGTAGCAAACAATAGACAGCTCCTAGAGCCCTGCCCCGTGCCATGTGCCACCAACCTTCACTCTCTGCTCTAGGATGGAGAAGATCCGCTCGATCCCAATGCTGACCCCCACACAGGGCACCTTCCGGCCCTTGGGATCAAACATCCCCACCAGCCCGTCGTAGCGGCCGCCTCCAGCCACGCTCCCAACGCCGACCGACTCCTCCACGTGGTCGTTCTCCTGCTGCAGCAGGACAGCCTCAAAGATCACTCCCGTGTAATAGTCCAGACCCCGCGCCAGGCTCAGGTCAAAGGAGATCTGTAGGACACCAGGGAGCCCCGTCACTGGGTGCACTCGGGGGGGCCCTGGGCTGCACCCCCTCCTGCCTCCGCAGCTCCTCACCTTCCCTGTGATGCCAAACAGGGTCAGGTACTCAAACAGCAGCTTCATGTCCCCCAGCCCCTCCTTGGCCAACTTGTTCTGGGACAGCTTGGGGTCCTGCAGAAGCCGCTCGATCAGGTCCAGGCCACCTGTGGAAACAAGATATGTCTCAGGGCAACCAGCAGAGCAGCACCCACGGCGATGGGCCCAGCCTGGACTTCTCTGTCACTTGCCCTGCCCGGAAGGACAAGGCCAAGGGCTGGACACTCCAGGTGCTCACCGTGAAGCTGGACATACTCCCCGATGCGATCCGCAGCCTCGGGGGAGAGCCCCTTCTCTCCTACCATCTCGCTCCTCACTTCTTCCCACGGCATCTGTGAAGAGAGAGAAGATCACCCACTGCTTCAGGGTTGTGTTGTCTCCTGGGGAAGGTCTCTGGTGGCCCTGCCCAGTACAGATTAACAGACGTATCTGCCCTCAACACACCTTTACATGGCAACACCCTGTCATTGTCAGCATGGTTAAGAGGTGCATGAGAGAAGCAGCAGATCAAATGCTCTCAAGAGCATGGTCGTATGGTCATGATTCCATTTCTTGTACCTCTGCACAGCCTGTTTGTTTCCCAACCCTGCAGTCAGCAAAGGTGCCCAAAAGCTTGAAGCCCTGGGACAGAGTGGCTGGAGAGCTGCCTGGCAGAAAAGGACCTGGGGGTGTTGGTGGCCTGTGGGCTGAACATGAGCCAGCAGTGTGCCCAGGTGGCCAAGAAGGCCAACAGCATCCTGGCCTGTATCAGGAACAGCGTGGCAAGTAGGACCCGAGAGGTGATTGTCCCCCTGTACTTGGCGCTGGTGAGGCCCCACCTCGAGGACTGTGTCCAGTTTTGGGCTCCCTACCATAAAAAAGACATTGAGGTGCTGGAGCGGGTCCAGAGAAGGGCAACAAAGATGGTGAGGGGTCTGGAGGACAAGTCTTATGAGGAGAGGCTGAGGGAACTGGGGTTATTCAGCCTGGAGAAGAGGAGGCTGAGAAGAGACCTTATTGCTCTCTACAACTACCTGAAAGGAGGGTGTAGAGAGGTGGGGGTCGGTCTCTTCTCTCAAGTCACAGGCGACAGGACAAGAGGAAATGGCCTCAAGTTGCCCCAGGGGAGGTTCAGGTTGGATATTAGGAAAAATTTTTTCACTGAAAGGGTTATCAGCCTTTGGAATGGGCTGCCCAGGGAGGTGGTTGAGGCCCCATCCCTGGAGGTGTTCAAAAGACAGGTTGATGTAGTGCTGGGAGGTCTGGTTTAGTGATGGTGTTGCTTCTTGTTTGTTGTGTGGGTGTCTATTTTTGTCAGTTAGGTTGACAGTTTGACAAGATGATCTGTAAGGTCCCTTCCAACCTAGAAGATTCTGTGATTCTCTGACAAATACTTTGGTTTTGATTTCTGGCCAGAATCGACCATCAGTACTGTAAAAGCACCGAGTCTGAGAGATATCTTGCTGCTGTGGTTTCCCTGGGCAGGTGCTGAGGCATAAACACCAGTCAAGAAAGCGTTGCTGGTCATGCCAGCACCTGGGAAGGTGTGAGGAGATGGGCAACACAGAAGCCCAACGTTAAGCAGAACATGCTGCAGCTTTCCCACCGACCAAGTGGTCAAAGAGGACCAGAGACTTGATCACATCCAGCTGCACTGAGATAAATCATAAGATTTAGGTATGAAAACAGGGAAATTACCCCACTCTAAAAAAGCCCAGTCCTCCCTTCCTATCGCTTTTCCACACATACACAGCCCCAAAACCTACACTTTGGACTTTAAGTGAGCCTTCCTCTAGTTGACTTGATTTGATGAGGCCTCCGAGGGAAAATGCAGCTCATCCTTGAACAAAGCCAAGTGAACACAGGAGATGAGACACAAGGCCCCTTTGTTTAACAGGGTTTCACAGGAGAGTTAAGAGCCTTCCTGTAAGCAGTCAGGCCCCAGCATCCCCCACATGACTCTCAACACAGAAATTCACCTCCAAATTCTGCTTTGGATCCCGAGCCAAGAAAACTGAGCTTTTAGATTGCACTTCATTTTAAGATTCCTCTTCCTTAGCTGTTAGCGGAGGGCTGTATACACATTTATAGACTGATCTCCAGCATCTTTTTATCTGACTAGGGCCTACATTCAAGACAATCAGCTGCAAATAAAAAGCTGTACCTACACCGACACCTTTCCCTCCTCCCAAAGGGCCACACAATCCCCCAAATCCCTTAGAGACCTTCACAGCAGCCAGTGCTCCCGAGGCACCTTGCTGAGTGCAAACCCTGTGGGTCCCTCCTGCCTGGTGTCCGACAGGAGCAGCTGCACACAGAGGTGGTTGTCCTGTGTCACACCAAACCTCAGCCCAGCCACACGAACAGCGATGTCTACACACAGCGTGTTTTATAAAAAATACCTGTGTTACACACCCAGAGTCAGCAGAGGTGGGAATGAGGTGACCAGGAGATCATAGAATCACTGAGGTTGGAAGAGACCCTTGGGATCATCGAGTCCAACCATCTCCCCTACTCTACAAAGTCCTCCCCTACACCATGTCCCTTAAACACAGCCAGGGATGGGGACTCCACCCCCTCCCTGGGCAGCCTGTTCCAATGCCCGACCACTCTTTCAGTGAAAAATTCCTTCCTAATGTTCAATCTAAACCTCCCCTGTTGGAGCTTGAAGCCGTTCCCTCTCGTTCTATTGTTAATTACCTGTGAGAAGAGACCAGCTCCAACCTCTCTACAGTGTCCTTTCAAGTAGTTGTAGAGAGTGATGAGGTCTCCCCTCAGCCTCCTCTTCCTCATACTGAACAGCCCCAACTCCCTCAGCCGCTCCTCATACGATTTGTTTTCCAGCCCCCTCACCAGCTTCGTCGCCCTCCTCTGCACTCGCTCCAGCACCTCGAGATCTCTCTTGTATTGAGGTGCCCAGAACTGGACACAATGTCACACACGTTGTCCCTGTGACCGTGTCCATCCCCAGGCCAGCCCCAAGGAGCCCTGTTCCCAGCAAAACATGCTTGTGCTGATGACAGCCACAGGAGAGTGTGTGAAGACATGCTGTGGGGGCACACAGGGCAGCACAACACCAAACAGACCGGTCTTCCGGGGTTATTTGTCAGGTCTGTGTTTCTGATCTCTTACTCCTTACTCTAGATCCAAGGATCTAGATAGATTGGATCACTGGGCCAATGCCAATAGAACGAGTTTCAACAAGGGCAAGTACAAGGTCCTGCACTTGGGCCACAATAACCCCCTGCAGCGCTACAGGCTGGGGGAAGTGTGGCTGGAGCTGCCTGGAGGAAAGAGACCTGGGGGTTCTGGTTGACAAAGGGCTGAATATGAGCCGGCGTGTGCCCAGGGGGGCAAGAAAGCCAATGGCATCCTGGCTTGTATCAAAAATAGTGTGACCAGCAGAAGTAGGGAGGTGATTGTGCCCCTGTACTCAGCACTGGGGAGGCCACACCTCGAGTGTTGTGTCCAGTTTTGGGCACCTCAATCCAAGAGAGATCTGGAGGTGCTGGAGCGAGTGCAGAGGAGGGCAACGAAGCTGGTGAGGGGGCTGGAAAACAAATCGTATGAGGAGCGGCTGAGGGAGTTGGGGCTGTTTAGTGTGAGGAAGAGGAGGCTGAGGGGAGACCTCATCACTCTCTACAACTACTTGAAAGGACACTGTAGAGAGGTTGGAGCTGGTCTCTTCTCACAGGTAATTAACAATAGAACGAGAGGGAACGGCTTCAAGCTCCAACAGGGTAGGTTTAGACTGAACATTAGGAAGGAATTTTTCACAGAAAGAGTGGTCGGGCATTGGAACAGGCTGCCCAGGGAGGGGGTGGAGTCCCCATCCCTGGCTGTGTTTAAGGGCCGTTTAGATGCAGTGCTGAGGGACATCGTGTAGGGGAGGACTTTGTAGAGTAGGGGAGCTGGATGGACTCGATTCTCCAAAGCGACTCTTCCAACCTAGACCCTTCTATGATTCTATGAAGCTCGACCCCA